TTCTGTTTTGATTTTTTTTTCTAAAAAAACTAATGTAGATCTTGTTTCACAAAACTGATTTACTACCTAGTAATGGTTATAACCAGAAGTTTGAGAAAGACCGCCTCATAATATAACTTCCATCAGGGTAGATTCCATGTCTATTTTGGTCTTCCCCTACAGTCCTATAACTTCCCAGGTGACAGTACCACTCAATACCTTGTTGCTCTTTATTAAATAACTATTATAAAGGTAAACTTCTTTTGCCATCTGATGCAAAGAACTGACTCAATGGGAAAGACCCTGATTCTGGAAAAGACTGAAGGCAGGAGGAAAAGGGGACGACAGAGGATGAGATGGTTGGATGGCATCACCAACTCAATGGACATAAGTTTGAGCAAGCTCCTGGAGTTGATGATGGACAAGGAAGCCTGTCGTGCTGCAGTCCATGGGATCACAGTGAGTCGGACACGACTGAGAGACTAGACTGAACTGAACTGAACTGAAAGGTAAATTTCAGCTTTCCTATGATCTTTTCCATTAATACATGCTTCCTGTCAGTGGTGAAAAAATCCCATAATTCTTTATGGACCAAGACATCCTGGGAACTACAGTGGCATGTTGATGTCGCAGGATGGCTTATGGGTTGAGAGCATGAATTTTTGAGGCAGATTAAAGGGATTTGCATTCCAACTCTGGCAATTACTACCGGGGTTAACTTTGAGCAACTTGCTTAATCCATTTGTGTCTTATTGTATGCATTTGTAAAATGACAAATATCCTTACTTCATAGAGTTACAGTAAAGACTAAATTGGTACATACATGTTAAGCTCTTAGAATACTGTCTAGCAATATGTATTACATATATTTACTTATTCAGCAGTTGTAGACATTACTCAAGGAGAGAAAACTCTGTGGAAATGAAATTTAGTCTGTTACCCTAGAGTACTTCTCCAACTCTAACGCTGTGGAGAATGGGTTACAAGTACCCTCACTCTCTAAAGAAAGTTGAAAGATGTTATCTCTATGGACCCACTCAGAAGTAGCTAACCTATCCTTTGCCCTCTAGCCCAGTGTATACCTCCAGTCTTTATAAGAGAGGACTGGAGATTCTTTGAGAGAATTCAGTAAAGAGCTTACTTGGGAGTAGAGGATACTTAGCTTTTTTCTCACCTTCCTGCCTTAAACCTTTGGAGACCTCCTAAAGAAAGAATAGCTAAACTCTAGAGATTTGTAGGCAACCTCTATTCAACCCCCAGGTTGGGAGTGAATGGAAAAGCTCTGAGGAGAACGTGATGGAGTTTCCTGTGGGCATAGGACTAGTCCCTTCTATGTGAAGAGTTCTAAAGTCAGGGAGCCAGTGGGAATAGCTTGTAAAGGGAAGGCAATGAGCCCGGCAGTGGTGTGAGCAGCCCCACTTTCAGAAAAGTTTATGGCAAGAATACTGCTCCTGTTGGCCAAATAGATACCTCCAAAGGTAGAGAGTCTCAAGTTTCTGGAAACCATTTCTCCCGGTGGGGGGTCTCCTACAAGGACAAAGTGACTACGGGATAAACCACGAGAGACAGTAGTTGAGTAGGGGTCACAAGACATCAGCTAGGGAGTGTATTGCCCATGTTGAGAAGCTGCAGTTCAGAGGTTCCCAAGGAACCCACATCTATGCCTGAGAAACTGCCTGTATTTGAATATCTTCATCTTGACCCTTTTCCTTTAAGCGTGTCTTCATCAGGCTCAACCCTGAAGACTCAGATGATGGAAGAGAAAAGCATACAGAGCTCCAGGAAATTAAAAAACATGACCATATTCCTTTCCCTCATGATCCTGAGGTAGAGAGGGGATGCTTTTGAACTGTGGTGTTGGAGAAGACTCTTGAGAGTCCCTTGGACTGCAAGGAGATCCAACCAGTCCATCCTAAAGGAGATCAGTCCTGAATATTCATTGGAAGGACTGTTGCTGAAGCTGAAACTCCAATACTTAGGCCACCTGATGTGAAGAGCAGACTCATTGGAAAAGACCCTGATGCTAGGAAAGATTCAAGGCAGGAGAAGGGCAGAACAGAGGATGAGATGGTTGGATGGCATCACTGACTCAATGGACATAAGTTTGAGCAAGCTCCTGGAGTTGGTGATGGACAGGGAAGCCTGACATGCTGCTGTCCATGGGGTCACAAAGAATCAGACACAACTGAGTGACTGAACTGAACTGATAATTGGGTTTTATTTCTTTATCCACTATGACAATCTCTGACTTTCAACTGAAATTTAGGCCATTCACATTTAAAGAGAGTATTGATATAGTTGGATAAATACCTATCATGTTAGTAATTATTTTTTATTTCATTGTACTTGTTTTTTTCCTTCTCCCTTTTTTCTACCTTTTCTAGTTTTAATTGAACATTTTATATAAGTCCATTATATTTCATGTCATATATATTATAGTTATTTTTAAACTTTTTTAGTGGTTGCCTTAGAGTTTACAATTTGCATTTACAAATACTCTCAGGGAACATTTAAAAACACTTAGATACCACTTCACAGGTAGAGAAGGTAACATAACAGGTTATTCTCAATTCCTACCTTCCATCTTATGACATTGGTGTCATTAGTTTTCTTACCTATATGTTATAACCAGCCAATACTTTGTTAATGTTATTACCTTAGATGGTAATCTTCTATATCAGTTAAAACTTTTAAAGTTAAATATTTTATTTTACCTTTATGCTCATCTAACACTCTTCCTTTTTGTAATTATAGTTTCTGACATACTTAGTTTTCCTTTCCCCTAAATAATTCCTTTTAATGTTTCATTTAAGGCAGCTCTGCTGGTGGTGAAGTCCTAATTGTTTACTTGAGAAAGCTTTTTTTTCTCCTTCACTTTTGGAGAATAATTTCCCTGGATACAGAATTCCAGATTGGTAGGAATTTTTTTCCAAGACTATAAGTATTTCATTCTTGTAGTCCTTGCTCACATGGTTTCTGATGAGAAATCTGTAGTGGTCTGTGGGTGAGTTACAAAAGAATTCCCAGCCATGAGGCAGAATGAAAAGAGGATCAAGTTTACTAGAGTGGAGACACTGTTAGAACAGCAGACCAGCTCAAGGGAGAGCTGAACCTTTCACAGGCTAGCAGCCAGTTTTTATAGCCTCAAGACAGAAAATTCCTCTGGAATGGTGGCATTAGGTGATTGGTTAGGATGCTATAGGGTGGGCATTTTACCTGATATGGGATCAGGAAACTGGCTGGTTTGGATCCAGAGGCTCATAGCAACAGTTGCTATGGGATTTGGTCAGTTCCAGAGATTTTTATCCTGTGACCTTGGTACAGGGCTCCACAAAATCTACTGTAATTCTTATACTTGTTTCTATATATTTAAAGTGTTTTTTGCCCCCTCTATGTTTCCACCCCCCAAGACTTTCTCTTTGGATTTGGCTTTCTTATTTCTGAATATGATATGCCTATGTGAGGTTTTTTAGGGTTTTATTTCTTTCTGGTATTTATCTTGCTTGATGTTCTTTGAGCCTCCTGGGTCTATGGTTTGCTATCATTCATTTTGGAAAATTCTTGGCCATTTTTATTTCAAATATTTCCTCTCTTCACTCTTCTTCTTTGTGTGTGTGTGTGTGTGTTCCAATTATATACATATTACATTTTTTTTAATTGCCCCACAATTCATGGATGTTCCAGGGTTTGTTTGTTTTTTTCCCATATTTCTTTTTCTGCATTTCATTTTGGCAAGTTTCAGTTGATATATCTTGAAATTCACTGATTCTTCCCATGTCTAATGATGAGCCCATCAAATTCATTATTTATTTCTGTTACAGTTTTTTTTTTCCTAGTATATCCTTTTGATTCCTTCTTAGAGTTTCTCTCTACTTACATTAGCCATCTGTTATTGAATGTTCTATACATTTTCCATTAGAATGCTTAGCATATTAATAATTAGTTAAATTCTCTGCCTGATAATTTCAATATCTGTGTCATATCTGAGTCTGGTTCTGATGATTCCTTTGTCTCTTTAGACTGTGCCTTTTAATATTTTTTATTGAAAAAATGTTAAATAATTAATTAAAAAATCTTTTTATTGAAGCATGCTTAGAGTAGTGATTCACTGGGTAATAAGAACTAAGTTAAAGGCCTTTATTGTGTGGTTTCATAATACAACTAGGACTTGGGCTACATTTAATGTTTTTTGTAACTGTAGGTAACAGAGGTTTTAAATTTCTCTAGTGTATTTGTATTTGTTCCCTGTTGTCTTTAGACTTTCCTAGAAATTCCTTCTAAAATAAAGTCTGAGCCTTGCAGCTCTTCCACTTGTTATTTTTCTAGAGCCCTGTTGATGTGATGATATGCTATTGGTAAAGAGGAAGAATTTTATAATCTTCTGATTAAATTTCAGTTTTTTTAGTGAACCAATGCTCCAGGCTGTTACCTTCACAAGTGCTTTTTAGATTTCTTTTTGTTCCCACTTTTTAAAAGTAAGACAGGAAAGCAAAAAGGAGCTGGAAGAGGGTAAAAGTTCTTCTCCCAAGATGGAATAAGACTTTGGTAATGTATTTGCCCCTGGAGAATAGCTTTTTCTTCTGGAGAACATTCTTTTTAAGCATATTTCAAAATAGTTAATTTCCCTTCACCTAGCCAGAACCACAAGGGTTTTTGTGTTTGTTTGTTTGTTTGTTTTTCCCTAACTCCTCACTGTTAAGACCTGGTGAGATTCCTGGAAGAAAAACCCATGATAATCACAGGATCACAGGAGTGATATCTTATCACATTTACAGAATCCACCCAAACCAAAGGGAGGAAATTACACAAGGACAAGACTTATTAAGGATAAAATTAGAGTTCTGCTACTGCAGTGACATTTTTACAAGTTTCATTAATAGTAGGAATTCAAGTTTACCTGAGGTGCGTGATGAATAGTCCATCTTATTATCACTCCACTGAAATAGTAGCCAGAAATTCTTGAGTTATACGTAAATTAATCTTCCTGAGAGTCAGTTTCCTCTTTAGCAACACATACTTACCTAACACAATTGTTGCAAGAGTTTGTATTGCTAGTGCTTATCATGGTTTCAGCTGTGCAGTACTTGCAAGTGGTAATTGTTTCTGAATTGTCACAGTAGCTTTGACTTTCTGTGTGGCAGAATGACCTCAAACATTGGCAGGAGAGAAAATTGAGGGTTCCTTAAAGTGTAAGAAAGAGGTGAATGAGTTCACATTCTAAATGAAAAAGCCCATACAAATATGTCAAAGTTTTAAAAAGCAGCTTATAATGATGAGATGAATGGAATTATCTTCAACTTCCTTCTAAAAGAGCCAGTACCCTCTTTTGGGTCCCAAATACATTTTCTGGGTCAAGAGGTCAAAGATATATTTTAAAAGATAAAATAATTTTTTCAAATAATAGAAATTTATCTTCTTTATAAAAGTGAAGTTGCTCAGTCATGTCTAACTCTTTGCAACCCCGTGGGCCTACCATGCTCCTCTGTCCATGGTATTTTCCAGGCAAGAGTACTGGAGTGGGTTGTCATTTCCTTCTCCAGGGGATCTTCCCGACCCAGGGATTGAACCTGGGTCTTCCGCTTTGTAGGCAGACTCTTTTACCACCTGAGCCACTAGGGAAATCCTCTTCATAAAAACTTATCATCTGAAAGAATAATCAGGAAATGATAGCAAAGAAATTTCTTAAGAAATAATGCAACTAGTAGTGGGTGGAGGTGGGAGAAACTAGTTTTACAAGCTAATAAAACATATACAAGTAAATAAAGAGTGCAGTATATTTGCAACACAGTTGGAGACAGAGTCACAAAATTGATAGTTAAGCCCTAAAACAGACCGTATTTTTTTTTAAAGGGAATTATAAGATATGTGTCAGGAAAAGGAGAATAGCTTGTGAATTGGTAGAGCTGACTAGCAATTTAGAAGAAAAATCTAGTCATATCCTTACCTTATGGACTTCCCTGGCGGCTCAGACAGTAAAGAATCTGCCTGCAATGCAGGAGATCCAGGTTCGATCCCTGGGTCAGAAAGATTCCCTGGAGAAGGGAATAGTTACCCACCCCAGTATTCTTGCCCGGAGAATTCCAAGGACAGAGGGGCCTAGCAGGCTACAGTCCATGCGATCGCAAAGAGTCAGACAAGACTGAATGACTAACACTTCTCCTGTTTTTAACTTTCATGCCACTTACACAATTACTGTCATAATAACATAAAAGCAAATAAATCCTGTCAACTTGGGCTTCTCTGCTGACTCAGATGGTAAGGAATCTGCCTGAAATGCGGAGGACCCTAGCTCCATCCCTGGGTCTGGAAGATCCCCTGCAGAAGGGAATGGCAAACCATTCCAGCATTCTTGCCTGGAGAATCCCATGGGCAGAGGAGCCTGGCTACAGTCCATGGGGTCACAAAGAGTCAGACACTGCTAAATGAGTAACACTTTCACTTTCATTCTTACCTTATACAATAGGCCAGTATAAATTCTAACTTTATTTAAATAGTTTATTACTACTATTAGTAATAGCAGCAGCAATAATCATTACCAGTCAGGAAGCACTTATCCCTCAAACCTTTGAGAAATTTACCTCCTTGATTGTTAACAGCCGTGGGTCCATGTTTCTCAGGAGGTTGGAGGTAGCCTCTCAAAAGTCTTGTGCTTCATCTCTTTCTTCCTCATACCTGCAGACCAACACAGTGCCTCTATCCTGGATAAGTGCTTCTGCTCTGCAAGCTCATACTTCTTCCCTGGTGAAAGAAAGGTATATTCCCAGGTAAGACTTGTAGAGAGAACTACAAGTGTCATTTGACTTTCACCCCAAGCCATATCAGCCAAGAGAGATTTTTCTTTGTGTGTGTGTGTGTGTGTCTATCACATCATCTTTATCCATTCATCCATCAATGGACAGTTAGGTTGCTTCCATATACTGTCCATTATAAATAATGCTGCAAAAAGCATGGAAGTGAATATATTTTTCCAATCAATGTTTTAACTTTTTGAATGAAATACCCAGAAGTCCAATTGCTGTATCATATGATAGTTCTATTTTTTTGAGGAACTTCCATACCGCTTTCCATAAGGGTTCTTTTCTTCCAGTCCTTGCCAATACTTCTTAGTCCCTGTCTTTTTAATGATAGTCATTCTGACAGGTATAGGGTGATTCCTCACTGTGGTTTTGATTTTCATTTCCCTGATGATTAGTGATGGTGAGCACCATTTCCTGTGCCTGTTGGCCATCTGTATGTTTTCTATGTAAAAGTGTCTATTCAGATTTTCTGCCCGTTTTTTAATTGGGTTGCTTTTCTGCTACTGAGTTGTATGAGTTATTTATATTTTTCAATACTAGACGCTCTGTGTTGACATTGCACAAAAGCAGTGGTGGGCAACCTCCTGGTGCCTTGGCATAAACAAAGACAGCAGCCCCAAACTTGTGGTCACTGTTTTTCACCACTCTGCACTCATGGTAAACAAAACAGATATTTAACAAAGCAGAACAAAAAGGCCAGTTTTACTGAATAATGTCCTTGATGAAGCTGTAAGCATGATGTTATGAATTTTACTAAACCTCAGTCCTTGAGGACGTATATTGTTAGTTTTCTCTGTGACAAAATGAGAAGCGTGAACAAAGCATTTTGCTGAATACTAAAGTACAATAGTGTCTAGAGAAAGCACTTCATGACTGAATTGCAAGCTGAACTATCCATTTTTTTCTTCACGGAACATTTGTACTTGAAAGAACTGATAGACAAATTATGTTATTCAAACTTAGGTGTTTGGCATACATTTTCTTGAAACTGAAGTAAGTTGTCACTTTAAGGAAAACAACTGTATTTGTTGCCAGTGACAAAAGTCTGAGTTTTCAATGAAAATCAAAATATTGAAAAATGTGAACTTGAACTGCTTTCCAGTTCTTCAGGACTTTTCTGATGAGCTTGGTGATACTATTAAATTTGACTTTTTGATTCTTTGTAATGAAATGTGACAGTGTTTGGAAGTGTTGTACACCTTAGTGAGCTAATATTTTCTAAGCAGCTTAGACATTTTGAAATCATGCATGGATAAAAAAAATCTATTCCAAGTCCTAGAGGCACCAATGGATTTTAATGAAAAGAACATCAAAATTTCATTGATATGGTTTCAGATTATGTTTTGAAAATAAGTTTTAAGAAATAGTCACTTAAAAAAAAAAGAAAGTCACTTGATGAGTTTTGCGTAGTATCAAAAAAAATTATTTTAGAAAAGGCTATTATTAAAATATTCTCCCTTTTTCAACTATAAATCTGTGAGATACTGGATTTTCTTCTTATAATTCAGTCAAAACAACACATTTGACTGATTGCATACCAAAGCAAAGATGAGGATTCAGTTTTCTTCTAACCAGTTTCACATTAAAATGTGAAAATGTAAAGCAATATCACTCTTCTCAAATTTTTTTGGTTTTGGAAATCATTCTTTTACATTAAAATTTTATATATGAAAACATGAAATAAGTTTTTTCAACTAATTAATAAGTATATATTTTAAAACTTCATGGTTTTTATTTCTAATATGATAAATTTATTTATCTCTAATATGGTAAAAATATAGACGATATGACCCACATAAACAAAAGCTTTGAGGTGAGGTCCTCAATACTTTTAAAAGTATAGGGACTTCTCTGATGGTCCAGTGATTAAGAATTTGCCTTCCAGTGCAGTCGGGAGAGGGTTAGATCCTTGGTTGGGGAACTAAGATCCCACATGCCACTGTAGAACTACTTGCTCAAGGAAGGATTCCAAGATTCTGCACGCCATGACTAAGACCCAACATGGAAGGTGGGGAAGGGAGTAACAGGTCTTGAAACAAAAGTTAAGTACTATAAGAAATACAGCTGGCTAGCATAACAATAGGAAAATGCACAATCCCATTTGTAATCAAGGAGATACTTGTTTTGAGGTAATTCCTTACCCAGGAATGCAAAATGGTAACACACCACCTAACCCTAAATCTGATATAATAGATAATAGATTTTTTCCTATTGTAATGATAGAAGGTATAGATTTTCTGTTATTTCTTTCCTCTTTACATGTTCTGTCTTTCTAACACTACACACATGTTCTAAGTTTTGTAATTCTTAAAACTTGGATCTAAAGAAATACTGAGATCAGTTACAGAAGAATTCCCTGAATATGATCTGTTCCAGTAACATGTAGTCCGAGAGAATACATGTGCTTCCCAAATGAAGCTATCCATTGATGGCTCATTGCAAAAGAGCACATCTAGAGAAAACACAACTGAATACAAAGGACAATGGCTTAACAGGACAGAGAGATGGTGTTTCTAGCAAAGATTAGCATCCTGTTATGACTCCCTGCACCCTCAAGCATGAAAAAAGCATAGTGTCTGTTCCCTTATCCTTAGAATACTGATGGCATTTTTTCCTGAAAAACTGAAAAAACAGATGACTAAGCAAGAAGGGTTGAGAGTAATGCTGATTCTTAACTGCATTCAGAAGATCCCTGGTTACAATAATATAAAAATGAAATTATCCCTACTTTTCTCTTCTGGTGCTAAGTTTAAAACAACAAATATTTGGTCCCTCTCCTGTGTCAGGCACTCTGCTAGGTGCTTGGATTACCGTCCTGAGGGGAGGACGCAGTCCCTGGCCATAGGGGCTTGCACCTAGAGGAGAAACAGACAAACAGAATATAGAGGCAACTTTAAAGTGATTAAGCGTACAATGGGGTTAATACACAGGTCAATGCACTCCCAGAAGGCAGACACTAAGCCAGTTTGAGAAGGGCTGCTTCCCAGAAAGACTTTCTGGAAAAAGTATGATCTGAGTTTAGCCATAAAGGAGGAATAGGAAGAACAGGTAATGGATGGAAATACATGCACATGCTCGGTGCAGGACAGAGTGAGGATGGGAGTTGGAGGGAAGCTGTTTCATGCAGAAGTGTGATATGCCCGAGTGATCAGCAGCAAAATGCTGCAGGCCAGTTAGGGGATGGAAAGCCCGCTTTCTCCCCTTGTTGGGTCTGTTGGCTTTGATTTAAAAAAAAAAAGAATGAGGATGAGTGGTAAGAGTTGAGGATAAGATGAGTCCCTGCTTGATCAAGAAACACCTGAAATTTCTTTAATACTTGTCACAGACATATTCTATTAATAAATGTTATATTGGTTTGTGTCCTACAAACATGGGAATTCTGGAAGTATCTATTTCAAACGATATTTATCAAAATAGAGCAAAAAGCATCTGACACATACATATTGGTATTTGCTGCCTTACTGAATATATTCCTATTCCATTTTAAATAGCTCTCTACAGGATGGGAATCCTCTAACTAAAATTTTATAAATCTAATTGGAAGAGTTTTATGCAAATTATCTTCTGGCTTTGTACATTTCAATCTTCATTTTTCTCCTGTATCCACATACTTCTGATGCCATACTCTGCAGTAAGAAAGAATATTCCTGGAAGCAAGTAACATTTAATCATATATGACAAAGTGATTGTGAAACACATACTTATATCCTTCCATATGCAAATAAAATGTA